GTCGGCAGTGGGTGCTGCCGGGGACACCCAGCTCTGCGGGGGCACAGACCAGCCCAGGAGGTTGCGGTGGCCTCGTCTGCTGCAGATACCCCCAGTGGGGTGCAGATGGTCCCCAGAGGTGATTTGGGGGGGGGGGTGGAAAGCAACATCCCATGGGCTCAGGGCATCGCTTAGGTTGGGTCCGTGTTACCCTCCTGCAAGCTGGGGCAGGATCCAGTGTGAAACCAGACCCCAACTGGGGCTGGGGCTGGTGGTCTCTTAACCCAGGAGGTTCTCGGGAGTTTGGGGTGGAACCCCGGGGGCTGTTGGGCAGCTGACGAGCCCTCCCCTCCCGCTCCCTCCACTGCAGTTTGATGTCCAGCCGTTTCTCCCCGCACATGGTCCCACCGCCCACCCACGGGCTGCACCCTTCGGGCATCCCACACCCGACCATCGTCTCGCCCATCGTGAAGCAGGAACCCACCCAGCCCAGCGTCAGCCCCGGAGGCAACTCGTGAGTCGGGGACGGGGAGGGGATGCCTCAGGGACGGGAGCTTGGCCCCAGGGCATCGGCGGGTCCTGACCCACCATCCTGCTCGTTGCAGGAAATCCCCCGTCACTGTGAAGAAGGAGGAGGAGAAGAAACCCCACATCAAGAAGCCGCTCAATGCCTTCATGTTGTACATGAAGGAGATGAGGGCCAAGGTGGTGGCCGAGTGCACGCTGAAGGAGAGCGCCGCCATCAACCAGATCCTGGGCAGACGGGTACGGGCATCTCCCTCGGCACCGGCTTCGTGCCCACGTGCTGCCCGTTTGTGACCTTAAAATGGCCTTCGGCCCCCCTTTATTCCACCTCTCCCCATAGCTCGGTCCCTCTCCTGGGGCATCACCAGCCAAGGAGGTCCCAGGGAGCTGGTGGGGACCTGGGTGGCAATGGGGCGGGAGGTCCTTGGGGTTTGCAGCGTGGTCTCTCCCCCCTGCAGTGGCACTCGCTGTCGCGGGAAGAGCAGGCCAAGTACTACGAGCTCGCACGGAAAGAGCGGCAGCTGCACTCGCAGCTCTACCCCACGTGGTCGGCGCGGGACAACTACGTAAGTGTGACCCCCCCCGCGAAGCC